ATATACAGTGCCTAGAGTTGCCTATAATGAACGCCAACTACACTCACAATATTTTAGTTCTTCCAGAAACAGACTACTACTTGTCTATTTATTATTTATGATTGTTTCATCTCTCTTGAAAGAGAAACTGCAAGATATAAGTAGTCAGGCAGAGATGGAAAGACTGAATGACTATCTAATGTAGTACTCACAACCCACTGTTCCCTTAAAATGCTATTTCCAAAACAGGATTACTCATCTGTTGTGCACAGGCACACCCCAAAAGCCTGCCAGTGAGACCACATCTCCTTGTCCCATCTCTAGCAGCAGAAAGAGCTGTCTCCGATGAGGCTACTCTACTGCAGCTAAGACTTCATAAACAGGAGTTCTAAAGGGGATTTGCATTTTGTGCAAAGATGTAAATCTGACATTAACAGAAAATCTCAAGATGAGCTTTTGGGACAGTCTTTGGGCATTGTATTGTACTAGTCTGCCATTTATGAGGCTGAGACCTGAGACAGCAAATCGTGTTTAGCTACTGTGGCCAGGGAGAATGGAAAAAGTGATTTAATGCCAGCATTTAACTTAGCTGAAGAGATATTCCTGAGGAGAGGAAGGTTCCTGCAGTTTAGCCCCTGCAGAAAGCAGCTGCCTCAGAGTGACCAGAGGAAATCTTCTGTCTAACCTTTTGCCTCAGCTCTTACAGAAAGAGACTTGGATGTGGCACCTGGTTGCCTCATAGCTGCTCAGATAGTAATTTTAAAACTTGTCCTTCTATGAACTGAATTTGATCATTAATTAATCCATTTTTTTAAACATCCAAACATCCTGGGGCAAGAAGTTTCACAGCTTAAGCAAAAGTTTAGCGAAGGTATATCTACTTCTGTTTTCAGTGATCTTGTAATGAAAGAGACAGTGAACTACAAATCCCTATTCAGCATCTCCACACCACACATGATTTTTATAGGCCACTATCATATTCCCCTTCTATCTTTTCTGTATCAGGCTGGAGTGTCTGCCATTCCACCTAGAGGATCCATTTCACCCCCTTGATCATCCTCCTCCTCATTGCTCCCTCTGTCCTTTTGTGGTTGTGCTCTATCTTTCTGAGCCTGGGGGACAGAACTGCTGACACCACACGCCTGGAGCAGTGAAAGCTACCTCAGTGCACACCATCCTATATGTAACATTTGGATTGTTGTTCTTATATAAATTGCTTTACATTTGCCTGTGATGAATTTCATATGCCATTTTATTGCCTAGTCATTCCACATCACAAGTTCCTCCCACAATTAACCACAGATGACCCTTGTCTTTTCTATCCAGGATAACTTAGTGTCACCAGCACACACTGTCACCTCGGTATTCACTCCCCTTCACAGGTCTCTTATGACAGATGAACAGCACAGGTTCCAGCACAAATCCCCATGTGCTGCCACTGGTGACCTCTTTTTTGCTGTAACTTACGACCGTCTATTACCTACCCTTATTTTCACCTCTGCCAGCCTCGTGTGAAGGACCTTGTCAAATATCTATCAGAAATCCAAGCAGACTACAGCAATCTACCTTGTCTACATGCTTGCTATCTCCTTCTAAAGACTCTCAACATGTTGATTCCTCTCCCCAAGTATCATGTTCACCTGCTTATAGTTCCTACATATTCTACTGTTACATAGCAAGTTTATCAGCCACATCTTTCTGAAATCCTTATTTTGCTAAAAATACAATGATGGCTTCACGTTTCACATCTTTCCATCATCTGCTCTTGGAGCAGTCTTAAAGAAAATACAGTATCACAACGAGCAATTCAACTACTTAACCCTTTATTCCTTCTAGAGTTCTTAGGTAAATAGTATCTGGTCTTGGCAGTGCATAATGGTTCATGTGCTGTCAACTTCTCCTGCAGTCTCTTCTACTGACGTGGTATAGAGATAATAATCTGACACACTGCCAGGAAAGAAAGGTTCCAGCACAGACATTTCTCCAAGCTTGCTTCACTTTGCAAAATACTTGCCCAGTTTTTCTGCTCTAGTCTCATCTTCTCTGAGCATTCTTTGTATACTCAGACCATTTATCAGCCTCAAGACTATTTCTTATAGGAAGTCTTGTTCCGGGAACAAGTTGCTCAAAAGAGTAATGAAGAGAAAGACAGTACTCCTGGTGCAAGTATTTGTAACGCCTTCAAGGCCCTGAACAAACACTAGAGGATTCCTAGCAAAGCTATGTTTTGCTGTTCACCTGAAGAGCAGGCCAGAAGCAGAGTCTCAGACCAGTGGAAACAACATGGCTCTTTTTATGGTGTATTTACTGGCAGCTCAAGCTTTTTTTTTTTTTTGCCTGCTAGCGCATTGATTTAAACATGATAAAACCCAATCCAGAGAATTATAATAAGTACAACAAGAATCCTGTTTATCAGATCCTCTGATAGACCTCAAGTGCCCTCTCTACTAATTGAATGCACAATCCCCATTTCCGAGTTATAATTTCATATCATTCCAGGCTGCATTTGTGTGTCAAACTGTTTTTAAAGGTTGAGTTTGTTTTTCCTAAAGAGCCTGAATGCCAATTAGCATGCAGCATAAATATCGCTCAGCTTTCAAATAGCATTATGAAATGCAAGAAGCATCAAGGAAACAGGAACCGCAGCTTTTTCCAGTTCCACAATCTGAGTAACCTTAAACTCAGGTTCACAAGAGATCCACCAGATTAATTGGGGAGATCTATTTTCTGATACAGAGTTAAGAATAAGGCTCTATTTTGAGTTCAGAGCTGTTTACTACTGCTGATATTTGATCCTCTGGTCTCCCGGGAAAGGAGAAAGAACAAAGAGAAACGCATCTTCAGGCATCACCAGGACAGGTTTATTTCTCATGTGGGGGGAACTGGTGACAAATCCAGCCCATAAAACAGAGGAGGAAAGGAGTAAAATTTGACAGCAAGCAGGCACCATGTTTGTGCTGCTGTGTAGCACTGCTGGCAGCGCAGGCTGCCCGGAAAGTCTCCTCCTCCTAAGGCAACCAATACTGTGACAGAACAGATATATACGTATTGCTGACTGATTAAACATGTGAATTTAAACTTTTATTTTCCAATTTGCCCATTTAATGTTAACTACAAACATATATTTCAGAGTTTTGTGGTGGGGTTTTTTTGTTGTTGTTGATGTCATCGTTGGGGTGTAGTTTTTATTTTCCCTTTGTTTTTGCTTTTTAATTCAAAATATGAGGGGTCTTGTGAGTCTTTTCCCTGCTACTTTTCCAAGCTTCCTAACCTTTTCAAGACTGAAATTTTTCCACATCTCCAGCTCTGAGAAAGTTACAGATTGACAAAGGAAAAAACCTACAGCTTTCCCTTTCATGCCTTTCTAAAATATGATTATCAGCAGTGTAAGCAGCTTTTTTTTTTAAAACAATATAAGATAAAAATTAAATCCAAATATTTATTTAATTTTCTATTCAGAGAGTTAACATAGAAAACATTTTCCTTGGGTTGCTTTTCTTGTTTGTCTTTTGGCCAGAAAGCTGTTTGTTCTAAAAGTTAACTGTGTATCCAGCAACATGTTACCAGCAAAGGGAACTCTGAAATGGAAATACTGATTAGAAATACTGATATTCTCCCCACTTCTCCATTACTTTTACGATAAAAGCATCAATCAGTATTACGATCACTATACATTAATATTTAGAATACTGCATTGTTGCCAAAATCTTCAAATACATGCCTCTAGAATTAACTTGTAATGTCAATATACATTGAAATGCTAAACTTTAAAGTTGTCTTTGAATGTGTTAGACATATATTTATCTCTGAATATCTCAGACATAATTAAGATGAAGTTATTTACACATAAGAAATGTAAGCAGAGCTGTGTGGGAGTCAGAACTCCCTTTAATGGGACAGCCTATAATTGTAACATCTCTCTCTGTTCCATGTTGGAATTATTCCATTATTTCCTACAACACAATTTTCAGTCATGAAAATTGTTTTAAAGCAAGAAAACAGGATGCTAGAACTTTATCTTTTAGAGCTGCTACAGACCACAGAATACACTTCAAAAAGAAACGTCACAAAAGCCAACACAATCCCGTGGAATGTCTCTGTTTCGACAAAAAGACATATCTGGAAAAAACATTCACTGGCACATGTCCAACCAGCTCTCGCTGCAAAAACTGATGTATGCTTTGACAGTGATAGTAACAGATATAGTTGTATTCTGAATGGCTCTTCTTCTCCTCAGGGCAATGTTGCCTCAAGTTACACAGAGTAAGAGAAATGACAGCAGAAAGTTTAGCTCATGGAGAGTGCAATTGTATTTTCCAGTTTGGATTCTAAAGGGCGATGGAAAAGACTGCAATAAAATACAGAGGGAAAAAATTTAGCTGACAAACTAGAAATACCTTTTTACCCTACAGAGCTTCTAGCTGCTCTATCCACAGTGCATGTATTAATTGTTAGGTTGTAAGAATTCCTGCAGAATATGCAGGAATATGTAAGGATGCTGGGCAGTGTTATTCAAAGCACTATGTCAGAAATTTTGCAAAAAAAAAAAAAGGCAGGGAAATGCTTTAAAAACATAATGATCTGGTATTTTTCTGACACCTTTGCAGGAAGAGCTACATGTCTTCCAATTATGGCCAAACATGACGTTCACCTCTGCACTAATGAGCCTACAAACAGAAGACTGGAAGGGACCTCCAGCCGGTCAGGGAGGGACTCCGTGCTAACTGAGCCTTAGTGGGCAAGCCCTCCTTACAGGCAAAGGGCTGTCTCTCTATAGTGAAAGAAAGGGACTCTTCAAAACAGCCCTTCGGGAAAGCGTTCCACTACATTTAATACAGGTACCTAAAACTCAGCATTAAAAACCGTTTATTTTATCAAAACCCTTGCTCAATTAAGCATCAAGTTCTCTATGAAGGAGGCATTTGATGATGACTCCAATGTCTCAGAATGCTTCTGAGCCATCAGAAGGAGATGAAGTCACCTTTTTCACTGTTAGGGAAACCTTTTACTTGTAACTTTACCTTTCTACAACATCCTCTCCATTCCAGCAGGTTGAGCTGTCTCTCATCACCAGGTCTCCATCACACAGCCTTTCTGCTATAGAGGCATAAAAGGGTCGGGATCGCTTCATGTAATTGATGAACTCTCTGTAACGTAGGAAGAAGACATTTAACAACAGAACAGTACACTTATGGTTTAAGCCCCCTGTCAATTTAACCCTCCACAAGGTTAAGAGTTTTAGAAGCCTTACAGAAATCAAGTCATCCAAGTTGATTAACTTCTATTTCTAGTGTATTTTTACTCCCACATATCATCCAGTCTTCCTAGTTCAGTGTTAATAAACATAATTACATACAAAGGGTGGTTTTAACAAATTATGTTAACTCATTTCATACAAAATTTGAAAAAAGTCTATACCTACTATCTCTGAATAAACAGATTGAAAGAATCATGGGAAAACATCATCATTAAAGGAGTAGACTTTTTCTGTGTTACTGGAAGTGAATATTTCTCCATTTCCTGCACACGTGAGATAGGAATTAAGAATACTGTCAATAACCTCCTGAGTGGAAAAGGCTTCCTAAAGCCAACACCTCATCACAAAACCTGAAATACGCTGTAAGTACTCCACACATGCAACAATAGTGCAGAAAGTCATCTCCTTGAGATGTAGTGGGGCCAATTCCTCCCCATCATCACTATCCATGTCACATTCTTAGTAGAAAGAAATTTCTCTCTCATCATGTCTGGCACCTCATACCTGTTAAGAAGAGGCTGTGTCTGCTGCTTTGGTGAATAACCAAAACTCCTGGCCAATACAAACAGTCCATTTCTGATTGTGTGTGTACGGAAAAATGCCTTGTGGGCAAGCTGCCTGTTTAATCATCTGATTATACCTATAACATATTATCTGGCTGAGGTAACCATAAAAATAAACTGTAACAAAACAAGTGCTAATTCAGCACACAATTGAGAGTTTTTCAGAATGAGAAATCGCCCTATCTCCACAGCTTTAAAAGCTCCTGTTTGGTATAAGATGTTAAAGATATTGAGAACAAGACACAGGACACAAACTGAGCTAGAGCTGTCAGGGAGCTGCTTCCTCAGTCCCTCTGCAGCCCCATCGGGAAGGCCAAAGGACTCATTCTGGTTTATAATGCTTCTGCCTGGCAGGCTGTAAGGGGACACTGCACTGAAGAGATGCCTGGGGATACGGCTGGATGGAGCTTGGCACAAAACCAGTCAGGATTTATTATTCTTTTGGAAGCAACAGGTACTTCAAAGAATATCAAAGTCCACTGGTAGGTATCTACCCCTACAAGGTTTAGGATGTGGTCATCTCTCTCTCCACAGCTGTCTTTATGCCTTCTCAAAAGCATTTAACCATCCCATTTATCTTATGTGTGATAAAATCCTGCTCAAGATAAACTAGTCATCACATGGTCCTAAGTAACTAACTTACCTTAACAATGCAGGAAGGCTGTATTTTAAGCAAAAAAAAAAACCAACAAAAACCACCAAAACAGGAGGTTTTGGGCTCATGACAAGGGAATCGGTATTTCTCTCTCTTGACCACTTACGCACGCATATGAGCTCTAAGTATTTATAGAGTAAAGCTAGGTCCAGACAGGAGGCCACCTACCTGACAGGACAGCCTAAGAGTATCAGTTATGAGAGGTGACACAAATGCTAAAGATTTTACGGGTTCTAAAATGGAGTTTTCTCTGAAGGAGGAAAAGAGCACCCTTTAAAGAATCTAAAGCTTGTCTTACTCAACTCACCCCAGGAGGTTTAAGCTCCTTCGCATTTTCAGCAGAGCAGGGCTCTGACATTTCAAAGTAGCATCTTAACAAAAGCAGAATTCTATGTCCAACTCAATCTTAACAAGTGAAAATATTTACTTTTCATCAGTATAAAACTAAACACACTAGGTAGAAAATGTAGTTTCCCAGAGCCCTACAGTATAAAAGCAGTAATAAAAAGTATGCCAATCCTGGATTACAGCTGAAACAGCAGCTTACAACGGAGATGAGCTAAGAGGAGAGACAACAAACATGTCACCTTGCTTTCATTCTTACCGAGAGATTTTTTTCAAACTTCTTGATTTGTCATTCTTTGAAGCTTTCAGAGGCAGAGAACTGGAATAGGCCGGGGAGGATAAGCATCAATCAGGAGAGGTTGGGGAGTAGGGGAGAGGCAGGAATTCAGGCAAATGAGGAAAAGAAATGAGAAACAAAAGAGAAAAGTAAAAATTATTTGAAAGAAAGGTCATCAAGCACATGCATAGGATAATTAAGAAAACAAATAAGGAGGAAAATTGTCATGAGATTTTTCCAAAGTATAGATGCAATTAAAAATGTCAGTGCAATACTGAAAAAAAATACAACTGATATTGTTTCTCCCAATAATTTTCAAACAAGAGCACAATTACAAATGCAGCACACAGCAAAAAGCTGAAAATAAATTCAGTGGTACTTAAATTAACTATAACTGATACCAAATGGAAGAACTGTAAATATATGAGGCTATACAAGAAAACAATAGCAAACAGTTTAGAACGAGCACCGTGGGAAGGGGGATGCAAATGAGTAGCATTCATTTGCTGGTATGATGAGAAATTTGCTCTCTGTTAATAAACAATGTGAATACAGTCCTTTTTTACTGTTCATTTCTGATCAGACTGCACCACTAAAAAAAAAAAAAAACACCCAACTCTGGAAAGCAGGAGAGACAGGCTCTAAGTTTATACTGGAGGAAAAACTGTGGAAATAACCCTGGTAGTTATTTAGCACAAATGCATTTTGTGGCACTCATATCCTGAAGTCCCTTAATTAACATTAAACATTGTATTGAGCATTAATATCATGACACAATTTTCCACTTACGTGATTTGATACCACATTCTGCTCTTTCTTATACCCGTACTCTCATGTATGAAGTAATGGCAACAGCTGGAGTAATGTGCACCTGCAAACAGGTTCAATGATACTTCCCAATCCAGTTAACTCTTACTGGAGAGAGCAAGCCCCGCCTTCAGCAGCTCTGAGGACACCCAGATGATGGCGGCTTTGCCATTGTATTTTCTGGGAGCTAAGGGCAGGGGTGGCCACAGGAGAGGATGGGCCTGTACTGATCATCAGGTGTATGTCACCTGCCATCACTGAAGCTGCAATTCCAACGCAGCCAGTCAAAAAAAGAAATGAGAATTTGTAACAGGGAAAATCTGGACCTGCTGAAACTTCTGCCTTGGCCAGTCAATCAGAAATGTTCGATTCATTTCCATGTAAGTTAATTTGCATCTGGCATTAATAATGTTTTGTATTAGCACTTGAATACTCAAATTTTAATAAAACCATGTGATGAGTGACCCAAGAGATAATTAATTTTAAATAAAGTAGATGACATCAGCTTCAAACATTCCCTAAAATAAACAATTTTTTGTATCTTAAGATGTATAAAAGATCTGTAAGTTCACAGTATAACAAAGAAATCCCAACAAAATATCATTTCAAAGCCTGCCTCCTCCAATTAGGCACCTAATATCATGTTATAGTTCTTTGTTAAACATAACATTTTTATATACAGATCTATAACCAGTCTATGTTTAGTGGTTTGAAATGTTACGTGCAACAGACATGCTAGAAGACAGGTATTCAACTTTGCTAGAGTCTGGACCCTGACCAGAACAGTACTTTGTGCAGAACTCCACAATAATATTCCAATTTACTGATTGAGATTCTGTACATGCCATGTACATTCCCTGTACCATCATATGGTTTCAATTTTCTTGTCATCTCTGCTACATGTTATAGTAACCTCCACATTCAAAAATGACTACAGCAGCAATCCTGCCAGTTTCTGTTAATTGCTGAACACAATTGCATAATGAAAAAAAAAAAATTAAAAAAAAAATCTAATCTATGCTTTTCAGCTTAATCAGAGGAAAAGGTTTCCTACAAGATCATACAACATTTATTCAAGTTTCAGCTTCCTACACTTTTGCCCCTGACACTTAGTGTTGCATAACAAAAAAAATGCAGGAATGGAATGCAGTAGAAAATAAAGAAAGATGGAAAATCTCCCAGGAACCCATGAGAGTAAGAGGAGCAGAAAAGGATTCAACTACTGCAAAAGAAGATCAAGTTGCTACACGTATCTGGGGACCCACCACGCAGGACCATGTTGTGCAGAACAGTGGAGGGTGAGGAGGACTGCCTCCAGTCAGACCCAAAAACCACACACCCAGAAGAACAAACCAGTCAGGCAAGGAGACACCACCTTAACGGCCCCACTTTTCAGCTGCACGAGCAGCCTTGGCTCTACTGAACAGCTGAAACCAGAGGTTCTCAAACTCTTTGGAAAAGGAGCTTGACTTTGTAACTGGCCTCGCAAAGATGTAATATCTTTGGAGCAAGCACACATGCGTAGGTATGAGACGTCTGGCACCAGGTTTTTAAGGGCATCTCTAAGCAGGTACTACAGAAGAGAGGCCACTTCATTAGATGTGCTAACCAGACTGGTTCTCTTTCAGCTTGGGAATATTCTGACACATTAAGGGAATGAGCCACAGCCTTTCTGTTTACTTGGGGAGTGCTGGCTCATTCCTTCTCTTTTTTGTTGTTACTTATTCTAAAAAGTGGGAGTCATATTCCATATTCCTCTTGAATTAAAGATCATTTGGAGGGATGTCTGCTAAACAGACCAGACAGACTCAGTGGGGCAGATTCCCTGTACAACTTCATACCTAAACTGACAGACAGCTGATGTTTTGTTCTTAATTTTTTAAATTGCCAGAAGGAATGGCACCTAAAAAGATTCACATAATTACCTTCATAATCTAGATCCCCTGTAGCAGTTACCTGTCATCCAAGAGCATTTTAAACAACCCACTTGTGCTGATTTTGGCTGGGATAGAGTTAATTTTCTTCACAGTAGCTAGCATGGGGCTACATTTTGGATTTGTGCTGGCAATCACATTGATAAACATAGGGACAGTGGTGTTATTGCTGAGCAGCGCTCACACAGAGCCAAGGCCTTTTCTGCCTCTCACACCACCCCACCAGCGAGCAGGCTGGGGGCGCACAAGAGGCTGGGAGGGGGCACAGCGGGGACAGCTGAACCCAACTGACCCAAGGCATATTCCATGGCATATGACATCATGCTCGGCATATAAAGCTGGGGGAAGAAGGAGGAAGGGGGCAGGATGTTTGGAGTGATGGCGTTTGTCTTCCCAAGTCACTGTTACGCGTGATGGAGCCCTGCTGTCCTGGAGATGGCTGAACCCTTGCCTGCCGGTGGAAAGGGAGGAATGAATTCCTTGCTTTGCTTTGCTTCTGTGCACAACTTTTGCTTTACCTATTAAACTGTCTGTGTTTCAACCACAACTTTTCTCACTTTTACTCTTCTGATTCTCTCCCCCCTCCCACCACTGGGAGTGAGCAAGCAGCTGTGTGGGGCTTCGTTGTCGGCTGGGGTTAAACCACAATACCACTGCAGGAATGATTTCACCCATCCATTATAAAATTTTATTACCTAAAATTGCTTTTTATTGATATCATATGTGATTAAATGATAGATGATGAACACCACAATGATGTAGCCAATCACCGTGTATTTCACTCCTCACAGTCATTCCCAAGAAGCAAACTACAAGCTTCGTGCCATGTGTTTTATAGCAAGTTGTGGAAAATTTTAAAATATTCTCCACTTCTTACTAATTATGGCTCTATCATTAGTTTGTGGTGCATGGGCTTTCCACAATTGCTATCAACACTGTATTTCAGTAATATTTTATGCTAATTATGTAAGAATGGCCTTAGTTTAGATTTTTTGGATAAATTAATTTTCAGTGCACAGACCAATTTTGGGAAACTGTCTAATTTACAGTATACCAGTTTTAGCACATTTTCTTTCCCATCTACAGGTCTTAAATTTTAAAAGGTCAATATCCAAATAATTCTAGATGGTTGGGAAGAGGAGAGAGCAAATTCTCAGGTGAGAAAGAACTGCTGTCATGCCATTAAAGACACCAATTTGCATCTGTTTAAGAGGTTACCTGTTAATAGGTTGGTAATTCTGCCTTTCTGGTTGCCAGCGTGTAAGTCTCAGTGAAGTCAATGAGTTATATGGAAGATAGCCTACAGCTCTGTGTTTTTAAAAGCATATTTTGATAATTGTACTACAACTGTTCTTTGGATTATTACTGCTGAATGTATTAATTTAATTTTCTTAATGCTCTTTTCTCCAATTTGCATGGTAAAAATTGATTATCTCCGAGCACTAGCACAATCTGTTGTTATTTTGGTTTTAAATTACAAAGGGATAAAAAAAATCACTATCACTCAAAAAACTTAGCTTGCTCCTATTACTTTTATCTTTTAAAGCAGAGTTTGCTTCATTCATGAAAGCTTAGATGAGAGTTAAAATAGAAATGGATAAAAATCTCATCTTTACAACTCAAACTCCAGAATCCAGGCTATGGAAATTTTAATATTGCTGTCTGTCATCCACCTATCCAACACAGAGAGATACACATGGACTCCCTGGGCAGACTAGATACTGTTCTCAGATAGAGGTGTAAGCCCAGCATGATTCCTCTTACTTTGCTGAAGTTGTTCCGGATTTTTACTGGTGTTACAGAGAACAACAAGTTAGACAGAAATATGTCATCGTGATTTTATGGTCAGTTAGCTCTGACATCTACTCACATATCATGAGCAGGATTACAAAGACACCCTTCCCTCCCCACTTACAATTTGCAGAAAACCAATCCAGGAGCTATATGAGGGAAAGTGACAGAATAGGAGATCTGGGAGCAGGGTTACTCATGCCAGGGCCAGTGGCAGTAATTCAGCTGTCTGGTGTCTCAACTGGCATGCAGCTGAAGAACAGAAGCCAAGACGGACACCACAAGCCTAAATGCAAATGCTTCTGCTCTTGCTCTGTTACATAACAGATCAAGGAGATTGCAAGGGATCTTATTACTCCTCCTAGCCCTATGAAATGAGAGACTTATTTTGTGCCAGGGCAATGAATCTTTCCTTTTCACCCCTTCTCCTTCCCAACTCTGCCCCTGGATAGGCTCAAGTCCTTCAAGACCTGGGCAGCTGAATTTTAAGTAATTTAGACTCAGCTGTAGAAATTACTGAGACTTTGCTGAGGAGAAGCTTTCATCATTTTCACTGAAAGTTTCTGGAAATAATGAATACCTTGGTGCTAAGTAATTACATCAAGTCTGGCCTGTAAAAAGCTTTTCATGGTCAGACCTGCAATTTAATACCACACATCTGTGCAACTATCAGTGATGGCAATGGCTGGAGAGCACACAGACAGGGTTAAAGAACTGTGGCACTGGCTTAAACACTATGGTACATTAACGCAAATTGTGAGGCGGAGAGTGTATTTCGAGCAACTGTTACTTAAAGTTACCTTCTTTTATTGTTCAGACTAGCGTGAGCCATTACGAATGTCTGGATTTCAGTCGCTTCCTTCACTGGCACTATATTGTCTGATGACAGGTTTCCTTCTTGTTGCTTGGGCTGTCCACACACTTTATCAACCTGCATGAAAGGAAGGGAAAGGAAAACCAGGTTTGAATGGAGAAACTGATTTACAATTGCCCAAAGGTCAGCTTGTTCCTTGTGGTCACTGTTTACTGCAAGAGTTGTTGTCTGGGGGAGAGAAAGAAAGGATTCTTCTTTCCAGGACCTGGAGACTAGTCTTCCACATAAGAATGACCAAATTAAGAGGCAGTGCAAAGAGCACTGCTACCAGAAAGCCAACAGTCATGGATTTGTCAATGGATACCTGGACTACAGCACACCTGGGAACAGGCTGAAATAGCGACTGACAGAAGTGTTGCAAAACCAAATTTTTATTTAGAAACATACCCTGCAGTCTGTAGGTAAACAGATTTTGATGGAACCCTGTATATAGAAAGCAGAGTCTATCTGGTGTTTGAAGAGGCCTGTAATCAGAAAAGAACTGGGTCTTCCAGCCTTTAAATAGACAACATTCCCTTAAAACAAGGAAACGAGCAAAAAACCGTCACCATCACTGTCAATAAAGTCTTTTCTTGGACAAAACAGAATGAAAAGAGAATTTCCAGCCCTGGGAACAATCAGTGCCATGGATCTTGGCTTCAGAACACTAACATCACTCAGCCATCTGCCCTTGTTGCCCCTCCTGAAGCCTCTCATAGGGGATTTAAAACAAGACCAGGAGAAAGCAAGATTGTGTTTATCCTTTGTGCACTGTGGATCTAACACTGCTTCTGCATCCTGCCACATTTTATTGCTGTAACACCTTTAAGTGACAATAGTAAGACAAAGCTCTTTCCTTTCTAATCCACAAATAAGTAATCAGTAATGTTTTCACCTGCACTTAAATCCTCAAGCAAACATGAAAAGACGACAAAGGAAATCCTACCGTGGGCATGGTACTACCAGAGACCTTAATCACACAAGATCCATCATCCCACACAACGTTGAATTTGGTATCCCTTCTTCAGTTTTCCATTATAACCCAGTGAGATAGATTCTTGCTGGTCTGTGCATTTTACTGCATCTTTAAAACCCCAAGTCACAGCTGCCTATCTGCTGAGTATTTCAGAACACAGGTGACTTCAAATAATTTTCTCTGCCCCTTTGCACCACTATATTGTGTTTGTCAGTGCAAGTACAGGACAATTTTCTCTCCCTTAGCTCATTTCCTCCAGGAAAACTACTGCTATGTAAAGCTAAGGTATTTTCTCTGAAAAAAAAAAAACAAACAGGCTGATGGAACATGAGAAGTTGGAAGCTGTATAGGCGTGACACTTAACATCAGCTTTAGTTGTATGAGTTACAGTCTGGTCTAGTATAATATGCTGTGAAGAACCTAAAACTGTAGCAGTTGAATGAGAATGTACTGGATTAATCCCAATATCCCTCCAGCAGTCAGAGCAGGAGCCAGCTGCCTTACTCAACACCATGCACTGTGTATACTGTTCTGGTCTTCTGGTCTCACCAGGGACTAGCACAGCATTGCCTTAAAACATAACTTTGTGAAATAAAATATTCCATTTCAGTCCCTTCTAAACGTTTGAAAAGAAAAAAAAAAAAAAACAAAACACTCTATGCAAATGAAAATATAAACCAAAAATGCCTTTTGAACCCTTTGGAGCTGGACAGAGAGTGTAACACAGCTGGATCACATTCCTGCACAGGATGCTCTCTCCTGTGCCCCAGGTTTCCCAGGTCTCCTACAGCATGCAGACCCACATTCCCAGCATGGGTTTCTGCAAAGTCCATCTTAGATTACATCATGTCACAAAAGTTCATGTCTTCAAATTACATACACCTCAAATCTATTCACTATGGATTTAAGACAGTTTTAACCAACTAACACCAGAATGGTTTGGAAAAGCAATGTGGTTCTCGTATACATAAACAATGAAGAACTCCCAAGATTTTAATTTTTCCTGTGAGAACTAAGAGATGGAGAGCCATCACTTTTGTTAAGTTTCAATAGTTTAAGCATTCACATGAAAATACTCACTTTGTTTTGATTTGTATTTTTGATACCATAGAAATAAAGTGACTCCTTAAATTATAAAAGTTTCAATATTTTCTATGTCAAACCTTAACTTTGGGGTTTTCTTTTTAACCAGTAATAACAGTTTCATGCATATCAAACAAAACCACAATATTTTAAGGAAAAAGTATTTCTCAGTGGAAAATTTTAACCAGTTCTACTCCATTAAAAAGAAACTAATTTGTTAAATGAAAGCTAAAATCACATTCACGCTTTTTTGTCATGTGGGCCTTTTTAGTGCCTTCTCATTAATATGCTAAGAAACACTAGCAATGCTCCATAATTTAAAACTACTTCACAGACATTTTAATCTGAAGTGAGATTAACAAGATGGAAGATACAATAATGAGATATTACTTGTAATAACAGTAGCTCTTAAATGTCTCAGCTGATATCCAGACTGCGTTTTACTGGGAAGAAAAAAAAATAGTGTGAGGCAGTTTCTGTCAAACAGCATTTGACACAAAGGAACAAAAGATGATGGGAAACTGGTGCAGAGGCACAAAGTGACTTCTCCAGTGTGACAGCAGGGTCTGTGGCAGACCACAGCTTGCTCTGTGTGCAGTCGGTGCCCCGGCCGCCTTGTGCAGCTCAGCCCAGCCCCAGCTCCCCAGGCTGGTTCCACCTGTACTGACGGGGCCAGGCAGTTCCAGCAGGGCCAGGCCAGCAGCTCATCAGCCCTCTTTTCTTCCCAACCCCTTCCAGCATGAAGTTACTTCCAGGTTAGTGTGAATCACCAGATGTTCTTCCTTCCCAGCCTCTTCAGGACAGCAAGGATGGAGGATTTCACCCCGACATCATTCTCACAATGTGTACAGGTGGTTTGAAAACTTAAGCCCATGAAGGTGGGAGTACCTTACATCTTTGGATGCAAAGACCAAACTCCCCCCCAAGATATTGTCTCCCATGGCTCTTGAGTTATCCCTATTTGGCATATGTGTTTCAGATTTTGGATGAGTTAAGCAGAAACCTGCTCTCTGCCCCTTCCCCTCCCTCCCCCTCCCCCCGCCATGTGGCCTAACTTTCACATCTCACTGAAATGTGTTTTTTTCCTGCAAAGCAAAATAAGACAAAAGGCAGAATTTTACTAGCTAATTTTGGTAGTCACAAAGTTGATGGCAAGAATGAGAACACTCATGTACAGAAAACGGCCTTAAACTTCCAGCTAAGACATCTATGAAAAATGAGTTAATGATGTGTAAATTAAAAAAGTATGAGGCATGCCATTAAAAAGAAAAAAAGAAGTGTTTTTTGGAACTGCAACATCTGGAATCTACTGCTACAAATGACCTGTCTATTAACAGCGGTAAGACCATGGAGGGTTTCCCTCCCATCCTTAGGGCACCAGACAACTGCTCTGTCAGTTTAACTCAGAGCTCATGAATCAAGAATCACCACCCAAAGAAAAAATCACACTACTAAAAATGGTGACTGGGATTTTAAAGATTTATTTCTTTAGATGTGTGGCTTACTGCTTCCAAGTTATCTCTTAAACTGAAAGTATAGACTAATAGATTTTTTTATTTATTTTTAAACAGAAGCTAACATTATTGACACTGGACAATAGAATTTGACACAATAAAAAAATATCAAATCCTATGAACAGCAAGAGAACTGCAAAAATATTAGCTGCAAAGAACTGGAGATACCTGTGATAAAATTTAACAAAACTTAGTAGAAACAGAAAATCCATTGCACTTTTCCTAAACTCAATTTTTAGCACTCAGAATAATCAGGAATCAACATAAGAAATTACTAAGCTAATTTACTTCTTTGATTTTTAAACTTAAAAATAAGTCTGTTGATCTTAAATTACAAACTGACAGAAAATCGTCCCTCGTGAACTGTAACACCTCATCTCTTTGATGATATTTAATCAAGTCTGCCTTCTAACAGTGAACACCTATAGGTGAAAACTAGTATTTCTCATACCTCATTATCTTCTGAATTATCAACTGTTTCACAACTCTATACACTTTTCTTTGGATTAAAGCTTTTTTACTTATACACCAATGATTCTTCTTAAATATCTATCTTTCTAACAACTATAGCCATGTTTCTTCTCCTGTGAACTTTCCTCTGTAATGAAATACAGAGTCATATATATGGATTATTTGACCTCTTACTATTTGTTCTTTAAAAGAATGACTATTTACAATTACTGCAGAGGCTTAACAAAATAAATTGAAAAAATCTCATCCAAAATCTTTTGAACCCTTGCAGCTTGAGCAACCTTAAACAACGAGGTCATATTTAATATACCTAATATAATCAAACAATGGAAAAATGTCACGCCCTTCTGGATACCAAGAGAATCTTACCTCTCTAAAGCAGGAGACCTTTTCACTAGTTCAGAACAGTAACTTTCTTTGATTTTATAATGCGAAGCTTAGTATTTTAAAATACAAGATTTTTCTAGTCATTGGGCTTTGAGTTATTATTAAAGTGCCAATACATTTTCCAGCAATTCCCCCCACCCTGATCTGTAACCCAATTCAGCTCTGCAAAAACCCAGCACCTGGGTGAACACCTCTGACAAATTACACCCCTTGGCCCAGGTTCCTGATGGCTCTGCAGGCATCAGCACAGTCGTACCCCACACCAGACGTGCCACAAACACATCTGAAATCAGAATTGGAGTTTGCTGATTCCAGCTGCCAAGCCTGAATTAAGGGAAGCAAGAAACAAGTTAAAGGGAAATGAGGTTTGAATTCTCTGATCTGAATGTTCACCGTGAGATCTTGTTTACTTTGGGTCAGGCATATCCTCATCACTCGATTACCGATGGCACAAGACACCAACAGATAGCTTGCTTGTCATTTTCTGTTGATCAAGCCATCAACTGAAGTTCATTCTGTAAATAAAGAACCCTCTCCTTTGAAGTGGCTGTCACCTATTGCTATAGCATCATTGCAAAATGCTCATTTCCAATGCTCAAAAGATGAGTGGGATCACATTTGATAAAATGCAAACCAGGCCTTACTGC